AGACTCAAGACCCACCTGGCCGTGTCGTTCGAGCCATCTTTAACCTCTTGTTTACCCTCTACCGTAAGGGTTTGGCCATCGATATTCACTTTCAGTTCATCTGGTTTAAATTTCGAAACATTCAATGCGATTGTCAACTTTGACTCGTCATTGGTAACCTGCAATATACTTTCTCAGGGCAATGAACACAGTGGAAGAGGTGGAAGGCCCAAGAAACTCTGACTTACCTTGTCAAATTGGCCCATGACGGCTTTCTTTTCCTTCCTTCTCTTTGTGGGAGGAGAAATAGTCGGTTCCACCAGAGACATCTGGTCGAAGACGTCGCCAAGCGCTTTTTCCTCCCTCCTTCTCTTGGAGGGAGAACAAGCAGGTAATGCCACCAAGGGGATGTGGTCAAGGACGTCGTCGAGTTCGTTGAAGACCTCGTCCAATACACTTGGCAGAAAAGCGTTGTGGAGAATGCAGGTAGGCATCGTTGAAGCACAGAAGAGTTCGATTCAAATGACTGGAGTCATTCTCCTTGGAGGTGCTTATATACAGCTTGGAGAGATTCTTCCACAACCTTCGAGAACCTTCTTGCCCCACCCTCTCGCTTTGTCGCGTCGGCGATAATTATCGCAGGGGCGGGGCTACGAGAGAGTGGCGCAGACAACAAGGCGTTCTAGATGGTTCTCGACAAGCTCGCCGTGGTTATATAAACAGCCGGCTTTGCTCCCACCTGGTCAATCACTATTCACGATAGTGTTTGCATCTTTTGCACTAGAACACCTGATTCTGAAACCTTTTCTTTGTGTCATGAGTTCTCTCCTCATTCATAGACATTCCTAAGGATTTCTGACCAGGAACTAGTTTTTTTTTGTGTTTGCGGCTCGCTTGTGTTTTGTCTAACACAGGAATGATTTTCTTTCACTTCAGTGTCTATGCGGAACAGCCTGATGAGAAAATTCCTTTGCTTCTCTTTAGATACGCTCAGCCGGTGATTCCACTTAGCTGGGATGGTGTACGGTAGGGAAGCTGAAAGAGTACTGTAGCGTAGGTTGAGGGTACGTTGCACCTCCAAAGTTAGCCTGTTTAGCCGTATGCTGACCTCAGTGCTCGCGCTGGCTCCCAGTCTCTTAGCAAATCCAAACCAAGAGGTGTAGCGGTAAGTGGGTAGGAAACTCTTCTGAATAAATCCTTTTGATGGTTGCTAACTTTTTTTGATGTTTGGTTTTCCTTATTACAGGGACCTTTTAGAGAGGCGGAGTCGGTTCCCCTACAGGGATTTTAGAGGGGCCAAGTCGTATTTCCCATCTGCATAGCTTTCTGGCAGAGGTTGCTGACCTTCA